GAGGACTGACACCAAAAAGTCTCTGTTCTTCAAAACATTTTTCTATCTGTTCTTAAACATCTACGCTTTCTCCTTGACTTTTAATGACCCTCTTACGTCACTAAGACCACACCCCTGTTGGCTCTTTCAGCCAATCAGGACTTCCCAAATGAACCGGAAGTGACCTCTTTAAAAGGGTCAACACTTCCTAGTTTCAGCAGAACAACGGGAACTACGCAGAACAAAGAGTTCCAAGCTGAACAACGTTCCAGAGGGAACCAGAGTTCCAGAGAAGTTTCTAATGGAATGACCAGAGTCCGTCGATGCCACGACGTCTCGCTGTGGCTACTCGACGAACGCTCTGAACAATGAACAAGTCTGTTCTGTGATGATCTCACGACTCCTGTGGTCTTTGCTATTCTTACGGAGACGCTGAAAGGTGGCTTGAAGTGGAACTTTACGCCAGAACTGAAATATCCTCAGAAAGGTAAAAAGTCGATCTTCAACTGCGAAGTGTACCGTGGGTTAAGCTGGGTCCAAAGGAGCGTGTTGTTTCTGGTTATAACAGACACATTCCCTCACCTATCTCTCTCCATTTAAACTTCATTTTCCCATCTTTGAAACTCTTCTATCTGCCAGTAATTAATCCAGATATTTTCAGAAATGTCTGTTGTAAACCTGCAAGTGATACCATGGCCGTATGGTTCTCATTGTAAAGCTCATTAATTAAGCTGTTATTGTAATCAATCTGCCAATTATTGTAAATGTGTGATGTGTTTTAAATCGTTTTTAATTAAACGGCTCACTGTTGTTGGTGAGTCAGAAATTAAAACACGTTTCCGTCCACATTTAATCATTCAAAACACGATAGTACTCAGTCCAGAAAAATGAAAGAATCCGTTTAAATTATGAATAATATCAGAGACATATATAGTTCATTACACATGTCAGCTGCTGGTGTTGGTCCACTGTGTTTTATCAAGTGCAGGGTCAATGCAGCTAGCTATCAGGAGATTTTGGAGCACTTCATGCTTCCATCTGCTGAAAAGCTTTATGGAGATGAAGATTTCATTTTTCAGCACGACCTGGCACTTGCTCACAGTGACAAAACCACTGGTAAATGGTTTACTGACCATGGTATTACTGTGCTCAATTGGCCTGCCAACTCTCTGACCTGAACCCCATAGAGAACCTGTGGGATATTGTGAAGAGAAAGTTGAGAGATGCAAGACCCAACACTCTGGATGAGCTTAAGGCCGCTATCGAAGCATCCTGGGCCTCCATAACACCTCAGCAGTGCCGCAGGCTGATTGCCTCCATGCCACGCCGCATTGAAGCAGTCATTCATGCAAAAGGATTCCCGACCAAGTATTGAGTGCATAACTGAACATGATTATTTGAAGGTTGGCGTTTTTTGTATTAAGACTTGTCTTTCATTGGTGGGATGAAATATGCTAATTTTTTGGGACAGGCATTTTGGGTTTTCATGAGCTGTATGCCATAATCATCAGTATTAAAACAATTAAAGACCTGAAATATTTCAGTTGGTGTGCAATGAATCTGAAATATATGAAAGTTTCATTTTTATCATTACATTATGGAAAATAATGACCTTTATCACAATATGCTAATTTTTTGAGAAGGACCTGTATATATCATGCACATTTAATCCAGCAATGGTCAGTCAGGTCATCTGGACAGTTTCTTTTTTTGCTGTTGTTGAGAGACGTTTCGCTGTCCATCCGAAGGGCTTCATCAGTCCGAGGAGTTACAAACAAACTTTTTTCCCCACTAAACAGTACACTCCTAGAGTGGACCAACCAGTTTGCTGGTGATAAGACGGTTTCTGGGGGCTGTCCTCTCCCCCGTCGACTCCTCCCAAGCTGCCACAGCCAAAGTATGTATGTATGTTTTATTTATTCATTTCATTTCATCCCAACAACAAATATAATACAATTTAAAGAAAAGAAAAAAGATATACAATCACAGAAATAAAATAAAAGGCAGCAGAAGAAGAATGAGTTCTTATAATATCTGCCCCTTGTCCCCAAAATATATTCCAAACAAAATTACTATACAAAAGCAAGATGAATTTATAAAAAAATTAAAAATAATAAAATAAAAACTTAGCTAAAATATAAGATCAACTGTAAACAATTTTTATGAACTCACATTATACTTAATATTTTTAAAAAAAACAAATTTTTATCATCCTCTTGAATATGTACATCGTTTTGGCTTTTTTAATATCAACCTCCAGATCATTCCACACTCTAATACCCTGAGATCTAGTGGATCGCATCTTCAGACTGGTGCGACACCACGGCTTCACAAACATCTCCATCCCCTTAAGATAATAATTACTTTCTCTTTTAACAAATTTCCCTTGAATGTTAGTAGGTAGTATGTTTTTGTAGGCCCCATACATAAACAGTAAGATATTGTAATCAACCAAGTCATAAAATTTTAATATCTTTAGCTGATGAAACAATATATTTGACAGATGGTTATAATCTTTTCTGGTAATAATTCTTATGACTCTTTTCTGTAAAATAAAAATTGGATTTGTAATTGTTTTACATGCTTTACCCCAGACTTCAATACAGTAAATTAAATGTGGAACAATAATGGCATTATACAATAGAAACATTGCTTTATCATTGAATAACTCTCTAACTTTGTACATTACTGCAATCGATTTAGCTATTTTAGTTCTTAAGTTTTTTACGTGAGATCTCCATGTTAGTTTTTCATCAGTGATGATACCCAGAAATTTCACCTCATTGACTCTATTAATTTCAATTCCATCGACTCTAAATGGAGTATCAAGCACTTTCTTGTTATTACTAAAAATCATATAATTTGTTTTATCTACATTTAAAGATAATTTGTTTAGTTGAAACCAATTTTGTATTTTCACAAATTCTGTTTGTGCCATCTTCAACATTTGCACAACATTTTCACCCACACAAAGAAAAGTAGTATCATCTGCAAACAAAATACATTTAAAAAATCCAGTCACATTTACCAGGTCATTCGCATATAAAATAAATAGCTTAGGTCCAAGTATAGAGCCTTGAGGCACTCCACATGTAATATTACAGAATTCAGATTTTACATCATTTATTTGAACAAATTGTTTCCTTTTTTCTAGATAACTAGATACCCACTGCAATGCATGCCCTCTAATACCATATTTATTTAGTTTTTTGAGAAGAATATTGTGATCAATAGTATCAAATGCTTTCTTTAGATCAACATGTATACTAATACAATTTTTTTTTTGATCCACAGCAGTCGTTATATCCATGTCCATCCAGTCTTTTGATTTTTTATCTGCAAGATGTTTTACGATAGTCATAATTTCTTCTTTATCAGTTCCCCTAAGAAAAAAACTGTTTGTGTAATCCGTAACCGTATGGTTTACATTTTTATCTATATTTGGGATTTTTGCTGCCAGACTTGGGCCAATATTCACAAAATGTTGATTGAATCCATTTGCGATTTCATTTTGGTCATACATTTCTTTGTCATCCTTTACAAAATATTGTGGAATGCTCGATTTTGTTTTATGATTATTCAGAACACTGTTCATTATTTGCCATGTTGCTCTCATATTACCATTACTTTTGCCTAATAATTCACTGTAATATTTCTTTTTATGCTTTCTTATAATCCCTACCAATTTATTTTTATATCTCTGTTCTGCTTCGTTTGTTCTTAATTTCAGAAAGTTTGAGTATAAGTAGTCCTTTTTTTTTACAAGCATTTCTTAACCCTTTGGTCATCCACGGTTTGTCATCAACACGTTTCTTTGTGTAATTTTTTTGTACACAATTTTTTTCATACAAAGCTCCTAAAATATTCATAAATACATCATATGCTTTGTTTACATCATCAACATATTAATCCTTCCAATTTTGTTTTGTTAAATCTTCTTTTAGTTTATCTAGAGCTTTCTTTGATGTGTTTATTATTTTTTTCATAATTTTATCTACTTTCATATCATATTGATCTTTTTTATAGATAGTGAAGACTGGTAGGTGGTCACTGACATCCGTGATCAAAATGCCACCCATAAGTTCTTTATTTGTTGTATTTGTAAAAATGTTGTCAATTATTGAAGCACTATGGGTAGTAATTCTTGTGGGTTTTGAAATCAATGGATAAAGATTTAAACTGTGCATTGAGTTTATAAATGTTCCGATATTATTTGAGTCTGTTTTATTTCCCAGATCTATGTTAAAATCTCCACACACAAAAAAACTGATTTATTAGAACTTTTTTCCAATATTGTCATGATGTGATTGGTGAATGATTCAATATTTGAATCAGGTGATCGATATACAGTGGTATAAAGTGGTTCAAGACATCAAGGTTCATGCTCAATAATCCAATAATATTATTGGATTATTATTAATTGGCTCAATAATAATAATAATAATTGGCTGTGGCTGCCTGCCTGGGAGGAGTCGACAGGGGAGAGGACAGCCCCCAGAAACCATCTTATCACCAGCAAACTGGATGGTTAACTGTAGGAACGTACTGCTTAGTGGGAAAACAGTTTGTAATTCCTCGGACTGATGAAGGCCTTTGGATGGAGGGCAAAGTCTCTCTAAAAACAACAACAACAAACAAAAAACTGTCCAGATGACCTGACTGGTTGGATTTTTTTACCTGGATTATTGAGCATGAACTTTGATGAGATACCTGTGAAATAATTAAATGAATTCATCCTACCTGCACCGTTATTCTACCATATTGTTGTTTACTATATTTCTTTTGGACCTTGTAAACATTATATTTCTTTGTCACTTGTTGGTACTTTATTTTGTACCCTTTTTGAATGCTTTAGTATTTCTCTTTTTTTCTTCTTCAGCGAGTCGAGATCGGTTCTTCTCACCCTCATTCCATTGTACTATTGACTGTTAGCCTGCATGACAAATAAACATAAATACAATATTATATGATAAGTTGGCTTGCCATAAAGGTGCAGCCTCATGCTTCACATGGTCGCGCGCGCGCAGCAGCTCTCGTTCCTTCCCGCTGCTCCCTCCTCTCGACCGACTTGTCACCAAAGATGGCGATTTGCTGAGTGCTCATGGATACACACACTTCTCGGCTAGCTGTTATCTTACCCCAAACGCCAACTTTAGAGACCATTTAAGTGCACAGCTAGCAACTGTTTCTGTGTTTGACGCAGCAGTGACGGGACGTCCGCCTTCGCCGCCATGCAGATCACGCTTAAAACGCTGCAGCAGCAGACCATCCAGATTGAGATAGACCCCGAGCAAACGGTGAGAGGCTGTGTGCTAACATGCTAACACCGCTAGCCGCGGCGCTTACGTTTTATCTTCACGTATAGACTGTTTAGCCTTCCTACGCGCATGTAGTCATACACTGTACGCATAAATAACAAGTTTGCCCAAACTTCTCCACTATTGTAAAATTATTTATCACCGCGACACTTCAGTGTTCCGAGCTAACGTTAGCAAGCTAACACCGCTAATGCTAGCTCGTTAACTAACTGAAAGCGACGCGACCGTAAAACAGTTTTTTGGCATAAAAAGTTTTTGCCGTGGCTGCTTTGAAGTTGTTGTAATTAATTTACGTCCGTCTCGGTAAAGTTCACATCATCCGGGACAAAAATGAAGCATGGGCAGGAATGATAGGAATGCTAATGCTCATGACACTGCTATTTACACACTAGCTTTAGCTCCAGTTTGTCAACATGCCCTCGTCATGTGAGGACATGGCAGTAGTCTGTGTTGTTTTGTGTTCCTCTGGTTCAACATTATTTATAGATAATTTACAGTTTAAACTAGTTTTGGGTGATACAGGCTTTAGTAGTCATTGCTGGAAAATAAAACTCTAAAAAAAAAAGGTCGTATGATGCCTTTCTAAAATGTATTAAGTTTTATAATTATTAGAATAAACTCAGCTGTAAGTTTGAATTGTTTGAGTTTATGTTAATAATGAGCTGGAGTGGCTGTATTCTCACAGGCTACACAGATATTCACTCGCAGAGATGACAGCTTTTGGAGGCCATTCAGGAGCTCCTGGCCTTCCTCACCAATAAGGCGCTCTTTATATTTATTTATTTTTTATTTTTATCAGGTCAAGGCCTTGAAAGAGAAGATAGAGGCAGAACGGGGAAAAGACAACTTTCCAGTTTCTGGTCAGAAACTTATATATGCTGGCAAAATCTTGCAAGATGACACGCCAATTAAAGACTACAAAATTGATGAGAAGAATTTTGTTGTAGTGATGGTGTCTAAGGTGAGATTATCTCTTGTGCTGAAGCTAATGGGTGATCATAGCAGTTTCAGAGCCATAAATCAGAATGCTGCTAATCTAACAATTTTTATTTTTAAAATACAACAAGGCTAAGCCAGCAGCTGCTGCCTCACCTCCAGTCTCAGAAGCCCCCAAGCCCCCCGTACAAGACTCTGGCTCCACATCAACACCTGCTCCGGCTTCAAACCCTGCTCCTGCTCCTGTTCCTGCTCCTGCTCCTGCTCCTGCTCCTGCTCCCACCCCAGCAGCTGCCCCAGTTCCTTCCGAGGAGGCCAAACAGGAGCCAGACACGGCAGACACAGAACCACAACAACCAGCCAGGTACACTTTAGGATCTTAACCCTCCTGCTGCTCATAGGTCCCTTTGATGAAAGGGCAGCTGGAAGGTTAAAATTGTTAAAAACAAAGCAACTGGACTTCTTTTTTGTTGAAGACATTTTGCTGCTCATCTGAGCAGGTTTTCAAATTCTTGAGGAATGTGCGAAGTTCCAAGTTTTTAAACTGCGTTGAAGTCAACCAACATCAGGGCCAACTTTTAGGAAAAAAGTTAAATGGTGAAATCTACAGTCTGGGGGATTTTTTTGTGTAACAGCAATTTTCTGTAATTTCCTAAAAAGAGGCCCCAAAAAAGTTAATTTTGTTTTTCAAACACATTTGCTAAATGGTCTCGGATTGTTTGACCCAGCAGTTGGCTCATTACAGAAAGAGATGCCCCAGAAAGTAGATTTAAAAGTATTTATACTCAATAATAAACCATAAATAACTAATTTCAAAAAAGTTGGCAAGTTATGCAAGTAATGTTGTTTATGTTGTAAGTAAAGTTGAATGCAATGATTTGCAAATCTCTAACCTAAATTTAATTCACAATGGAACACGGTAAACAAATAAAATTAAATTGTTCTATAGTTTGGAAAAAAAACAAAACATAATGCTGAATTTTATGGCAGCAACTTGTCTTAAAAAAGGGAACGAGGCGACTTTTATTAACAATGCTGTAAACAATGAAGAACAGAGAAGACCAGCTGCTGGACTGTTAGGAGGGGGGTGGTGGTGTCGTATCCTGGTCTGAAGGATTCTGACCGTTCAACAGTCCTGGGTCTTTGATGGAGTTTTGTTTCATCATGCATCAGATGATTTGTAATGGTGACATGTCTGAACTGCAGGCAGGCCGGTTCAGCACCCAGACTCCTACTAGGCAGCCATGCTGTTGTAATGGATGCAGTTGGTGGTTTAGGGATGTCTTGCTAAAAGGTCTTCCTTGAAATAAGTCGTGTGGATGGGAGCATATGTTTTGAAAACCTGTACAGACTTTTCTGAGTTGGAGCTTTTCCAGATGTGTAAGCTACCCATGCCAGAGGGGTGAATGCACCTCCATACCATCAAAGAGGCAGGCTTTTGGTCTGCGCTCTGATAACAGACGGGATGGTTTCTTTACTCTTTAGTACGAGAACGTGTCGTTTGTGATTTCTAAAATAATTTCAAAATGTGATTTGTCTGACCTCGGAACAGTTTTCTGCTACACATCAGTCCATCCTTAATGAGCTTTCGGTCCAGAGAATCTGATGGTGTTCACATATGGCTTCTTCTTATATGGTAGAGCTTTAACCTGTGTTTGTGGTTGGCACTGTGAACTGTGCCTACAACGATTTGTGGACATGTTTGGGGATGTCCAGAACAGAATCAGACCCGTTAATGCAGCGCTCTGAGATCTGATATCCAGTACTGACTTGAAGCCATGGTGTTTTGAGCTCAGAGATTTCTCCAGATTCATAAAATGTTTTTGTAAAAATCTTATGAGCTGAAGATGTTAATCAAATCTTCCCAATGTTTTCTTTACTGAAGAACATTTTGATAAAATTGTTCCACTGTTCTTATTTGTACCACAGACTCTTACAGCCTTTTGTTGTCCCGTCCCAATGTCTTTACGATGTTGCTGCCGTCAAATATGAAATTTGCCAATTTTCAGCTCCATTCTGCTGATTGGGCGGGGTGCCCTTCTTGGATAATGGTAAGGGAAACAATGGTTTCAATATTCAATATGTTTACCATGTTCTAAAAAACATGGGTTTTTGAGATTTGCAAATCATTGTTTTATTTTCTGTTTTGTACAAAGTTCTGTCTTTTTCAGATTTGGGCTTGTAGATGTACTCTGTACCCAAGTATGCTCTTGGCGTTTTGCCACTGTCTCAACTCTCATTAGTTCCACACCACTCCACACCAGTTTAGGGCCTCTCCACTGCTAATACCCACCCCCACTCAGACCAGTTTATGGGACCACCTTGTTTGAGGTCCCAAGCGGGCTGTTGGAGATAATGGCACAGCATGGCTACACCCGGACTTATCAGCAGTGCCGGGATAAGCTAGTGAAATGGAAGTTCGATTATAGGGCGATTAGGACCACAATGGGCAGACTGCCTCAAACACTGACCTGTTTACATACCGCCCACTTTGTGTTGATGATCCCGCCCGCAAAGCAGGAAATGAGTCACGGTGACAAATCACCTCCACCTGAGAAGAACTAAGACGAGAGCCGAATGGAGTCGCACTTACCAATGGAAAAGTGGCTTCTTTGTACATGAGCAGTGTTTCCCCTACCATTCTACATGGAGGGTGTCCCACCCTGTCAACAGAACGAAGTGCCCTGCATCGAACTGTCTAATACCCCCCACCCACCCCAACAACTGCCCGCACTAACGTAGTGCTAAGCTAGTGGTGCGCAATATAGATGCGCTAGCTACAAAGCTGCAGAGGTAGTGCTCCATCTCCCAGATGCTAAGCGTCCCCCCGCCCCCTCTGTCGACAAATGTTGGCACAAACAGCGCACAACACAGACATGTCTCTGTCTCCACCCACCGTCCACAAAAATCACGGAAGAGATGAGCGTCCTGCCAAGGCTAGTAACGTAGGGGAAACTGCCCTGAGTGTACTCTGCTTACCCCAGTGTACTCTGCATGCAGAAGCTCCCTCCTGCAGCATGTCATCATCTCCATTCTGCAGAGGAGAAGTGGGCGTGTCCGAAAGCGAGCAGCCAGTGGCAGAGAGCTGAGATCATGACCTCCTGTGCTCTTTTAGAGCGTTTAGAGCAGGGGTCTGCAACCTGTGGCTCTGGAGCCACATGCGGCTCTTTCAAGCTTTAACCAAAGCTGACATAAAACTGAATTTTATTGGTTATACAAGCAACTAAAATTATTAGTTCAAACAAATTTCCTTTCATTTCTTTTGCAAATATGTGAAAACTGGAGCGATTACAAGAAGTAAAACATATTTTAACTTGATGCTAACCCCCCCCCCC